ATCAACAACCTATCGCGGTAGAGAATCAGACTTCTGAGGCTGCCGTCGTGATTTTAGACGTTCCCTCATCTTCAACAGTGGGTTGTGCTTCCTATTCAACAACATAAAAGGGGAAAGGCAAGGTGGTTAATGACTATGAATCTGAGTCCGATCTGGACCCTAATGATGTTAGGATGTTTGAAGAGGATCTTACTCATTTGGTGGTTCATGCAGGGGGATCGGCCCTACTCTTCATATCCCTTCTGGTGTTAATCTTTTGGCAGAAGGGAGGATCTAGTACCGCAATTCAGCCTGTTATGCTTCGAAGCTGAGAACGAGTCCCTTCGGTCTGTTCCCGATGCCAAGTTGATGGACGAGGTGACCGTCATGGGCTTAAGGGTACATTGTATTTTATTTTCTCTTTATGCTTTTTCCCTTCTCAAAAGTATTAGTTTTAACCCTTCTTTACGTTTTCCAGACGTATATAGTGGAAGTGGAAAGCATTCGCAGGGCCAACATCCGGGCAAGGTTTTTCTTGAAGATGCTGGAGAAATGTCACCTCTACCACGACAGGTGTCGTGAGATGCATGAGTTGCGACTCTTGGTGAGGAGTTGGAGAAAAGGGACCAAGAATTGATGCAGACCATCCGCAGCAAGAGCGAACTCGAGGAACAAATTCGAATTAAGGACGAGGAGCTCGAGTAGGGTAAGGGGGTCACCGCGGAGTATGAGCATCTGCAGGGTAGATTGAGGTCGATGCAGTCGGAGATGGACCAGAACTTGGTCAAGGTTGAGGCAGTAAGCGTGGAGTGGTTGAGAAGATTGACTGCAATGGAGAGCAAAGTCGCTGGATTGGAGAACATTGAGAGTGCCTGGCCCAAGGCTTTGGTGAGGGCGACGGCCCTAGAGAATACCATCCGCATACTCCAATTCGAAGAGGAGTCAGAGAGAGTGACAACTACCCTCAGGGAGGCGAGGCTCGATGAGCATATTGGCGTGATTGATCAGGAGGCATCGGTTCTAGGAGATCGGGTCGCGGCCCTGGAGGTAGAAAATGAGCAATTATAGGCTCAGATTGGGTCATGTTCCGCTGCCGTTCCTCGTCAGATGCATGAGCTCTGGGTTTATGCTGAAGCCTAGCGGGACATATATAAGAGTTTGTGGGAGGCGGGCACTATAGCTGAGGCTACTTATGAAGAAGCGCGAGCGAAAGCACAGGAGGCTCGCATCAATTGTGGGTATGACACGGAGACACCCAAAGCTAATGGGGATGCGGATGATGGTGATGGAGAACCTCTTGGAAACGGCGATGATGGTAGTGATGATGATGGTGTTGGTGATGGCGGTGATGACACCGAATGAAGAATGTTGTCCTTTGTTTTTATTTTCAATTGTTCGTAGGTTGTCGTTCGTTTGTGTTGTTTTTTTTGGTTGGCTTGGGCCATATGTAAACGGCGATAGCCCTCACTATGACTTTGTATAAATAAGAGTTTTTTCCTTCGCTATCTGTCTTGTACTTCAGTTTTATTTCATTTGTTTATGGCCTTTGGTACGAGACGGATGCCCGTATGACGAGTCCCGATTTTTCCTTCCTTTTGGCAGTTTTCCGCCTTAGAAATATTTCGAACTTATCGAATTAACAGCCCGTCATTGTTTGACCGAGGTCGAACAATTCTCTTTTTTGGCGAAAGCCCTTGGCCTTGAAGGGTGTTTTTTTGAACTTATCGAGATAATCAACCCGTCCTCCTCGAGATCGAACCTTTCTCTTTTTTGGCAAAGGCCCTTGGCCTTGAAGGGTGTTATTTCAAACTTATCAAAATAATCAGTCCGTCATCATTCGATCGAGGTCGAACCTTTCTCTTTTTTTGGCGAAGGCCCTTGGCCTTGAAGGGTGTTATTTCGAACTTCTCAAAATAATCAGCCTGTCATCATTCGATCGAGGTCGAAACCTTTTCCTTTTTGGCAAAGACCCTTGGCCTTGAAGGGTGTTATTTCAAACTTATCGAAATAATCAGCCCGTCGTTATTCGATCGAGGTCGAACCTTTCTCTTTTTTCGCGAAGTCCCTTGGCCTTGAAGGATGTTATTTCGAACTTATCGAAATAATTAGCCTATCGTCGTTCGATCGAGGTCGAACCTTTATCTTTTTTGGCGAAGGCCCTTGGCCTTAAAGGGTGTTATTTCGAACTTATCAAAATAATCTGCCCATAGTCTTTCGATCGAGGTCAAACCCTTTTCTTTTTTGGCAAAGGCCCTTGGCCTTGAAGGGTGTTATTCCGAACTTATCAAAATAATCAGCCCGTCGTCATTCGATCGAGGTCGAACCTTTCTCTTTTTTGGCGAAGGCCGTTGGCCTTGAAGGTTGTTATTTCGAACTAATCAAAATAATTAGCCCGCCGTCGTTCGATCGAGGTCAAACCCTTTTCTTTTTTGGTGAAGGCCCTTGGCCTTGAAGGGTGTTATTTCAAACTTATCGATATAATCAGCCAGTCGTCGTTCGATCGAGGTCGAACCCTTCTCTTTTTTGGCGAAGGCCCTTGGCCTTAAAGGGTGTTATTTCGAACTTATCGAAATAATCAGCCCGTCATCGTTCGATCGAGGTCGAACCTTTCTCTTTTTTGGCGAAGGCCCTTGGCCTTGAAGGGTGTTATTTTGAACTTATCAAAATAATCAGCCCGTCGTCAGTCCCGGTGTCTGGAGAGTTGGACATCTTCCGTGGGAGTCCTAGTTTGTTTGGTATGGCTCGCACCAGATGGTGCAACGCTGGTGAACACGAGGTGTTGATGTTTCGCTTAGGTTCGTGTTGCGTATGCATTATAGCTTTCTTGTCTGACTTCTGCCGTCCAACTCAGGGATGTTGCTGTCAAGAGGTATTTCAGTTGTGTTAAAGCAATTTTGGTCCTTTAATCGAGATGTTTCTGTGTATGTTCGTCCACGCGGGTCTTATGTGTTTGTCTGGACAAAGAGTGAGAGGTGAGGATGAGATTTTCTTCGCTCTTGCCCGGTAGTCCGGTGGGGGTAAACAGGTTGGTAATACCGTTTTCCTTATTTAGTATATCGATGGTTAATAGGGCGAGGATTTCCGAGCCCCTTGATTTCGCTTGGCCCTTCTTCTTCCTCTACACTGCTTCTGTGTCTCGCGTGGGTTGGGTTTTTCCTCTGTGCTCCTCTTGGTGAGTAATTGTATTTCTTGGTTTCGATCTGGGAGAAACTAGGAAATTTTCACTAAGAAATTCCCACAGACGGCGCCAAATTGTTTGAATCAAAAGATATTAAAACCTTTTTGGATAAATCAATCAAAGATGAAGGGGTAAATCTTAGTCAAACATAATTAATTTCGGATCGAAAAGTTGATAATAATGATTGCATATGGGACGAAAGAGGCATGATTGATCTTGTTAAGATTCAACATTGTCTTTCTCATCAATCGATGAGGAAGTAGATTTACAAATATTCCTCAAGGTCATTTCCTCGTTTTCTATAATACAAGAAGGGAGCTTTTTATCTTCCTTTTTTGAGAGAATGCAGAAGCCTCCCTAGTTGAGAGCTTTTCTTGGCTATATATAGTCGAGGCTCCTCTACCCTTTGCTTGACTCGACATCTTCTTGTTGCTGATGTGCCTTGGTCGTGATTTTGCGCGTCGCCCTTACCGATTCGTCAGATGTCATGGAGGGGAGACAGAGTGGGCTCTATTGACTCTCACTACCTAGTCACTGAGGCGAGGAGTCGATCAACTTGGTCGTGATGGTCAGATTTTGACCAATACAACTTTACCCCAACAATTTATTTGCATTCTCGTCGTGCAAGGCTTATTGAAGAGGGAACTACTATTTTATTACCTAAATTTTTTCTATTTCTATAACTTGAATTTTAGACATTCGTAAAAATGTAGAAAAAATTACATCCACACCGCCACACTCTTTCTTGGTACTTCCAAGAAATTTCAAAGTGCATGGCCTATGATGTTTGGTGATACATAGACATGAAACACGGATTTTGACTCTAAATAAGTCTGAATCATGCATGAAGGAATGGTCTCTTTTTATTAATTTATAAATTAAAACCAAAAGTTGTTGTAGTGCGGCTTTCTTGTTCAAAAATATGTGGAAGAATCTTTTTATTTATTTTCTGATTATTTTTTGGTTCTCTTTAGGATGATTCGATAAAATAGGAAAAATACAAATTAAAAGTGGTTTAGTTCAGGAGTAAATGTTAATAGTCATGTGTCCCTATATGTACTAGTAACACATAAAGATATCACACATTTGGACATCATATCGAGAACATTTTTCATATTCCACATTAGGTTGATTGGAAAAAAACATTGCCGGCAGAAAAGTACTCATAATTCTCTATTTCTTTTTTGTTTCTTTTCTTTTACTATGTATTCTCTTCATTTCATTTTATATGGCATTTTTTTCTTTTCTAATCCGTTCAAAAAAATAATAACATACTTTTTTATTTGGAAATTTTAATTTTTAATTTTTAATTTTACCTTTAATAGCATGTTTTATAATCGCAAAAACATTATGCATGTTTAAGATCACAATTCCCTGACGATTTTTACTATATTGCCAAAAATATTTTTTTATTATTAAACTACATGTTCAGAATAATATTCGTATAAAATGAATGAGGTGGAGTATAAAATTGAATGAAATACTAGAATTCAAGTGGTCCAAAAATATTCTCATAGCTTCAAAAATTTAATTTTCTTTTCCATGGGCATGGCATAAATAGTTGTACAATTCAAGTGGTCCAAAAATCCCCCACCCCCACCGCTCCCCCAACCCCCACAGCACATAGCCCTGCGCACTTTTTAGCACTACAAATTAGACCGAACCCCTCGCTTATACCTCGTTCATTCTTCTATCTTCTCCTTCTCTCCTTTCCCTCACAAAAACAAAAACCAAGAATTAAGACTCCTTAGCAAATTCATATTCAAGATTCTTCCTCTTCTAGAATTCCACAAAATTTCAATATTTTTGCTTTTTTAGATACTCTTATTCAATTATTCTCGACATGTCAACCGTAGTATATCAAGGTTTCCAGTCATGTTCTGAGTCTCACATCATTGAAACAACTACCCTCAAGCTCAAAGTGCCAAGCCTAACTGCAATAGAAAGCAATATGGAAAATCTTAATGAAAAATATGAAGATATAAAGAAGTGCTCATCTAATAAAAATGCAGACTTAGCAGGCTGGAGTTCCCTTCAAAATCTCCCCACCATTAACTCTTTGAATCGCAAATTAGACTCGAAAGAAAAGGAAAACTCTTATGTTCACCCTTTATCCAAACAACATTCTTCGTCTAGACTTAGTGAAAAGAGCCTTGCATTATGCACTGAAAATTTGGGATGTGAAACGGGGACTGATCATATCACTGAGAGCAGCATTTTCTCATTTTCCTCGGACGTGTCAAACACAGTACAATCACAATCATCAACAACAAAAACCAATATTCGAGTCGAATATACACCATCTTCAACAACAAATTACAAGGTGATCTCTAATACTAAAATTAGCTGCCGAAAACTTCCACCTCCTTTGACAACTTTAAGAGGGTCCCATTCTCTACAAGTTAGCACACACAGAGATGGTGGTAGATTAATCATCAAAGCCGTTGAAGCTCCAAAAGTGTGTACTTATCTTCATGCTGAAAGAAGCAATGGCCGTCTTAGGCTATGTTTCTTGAAAGAATATAGAAGCTCTAGTTCTAAATTTGACTTATTGGAAACGGCCGATGACGAGAACAAAGAATCAAAAGCTGAAAGTGACATATTTGAAAGTGACATTAGCAATGAAGAAGATGAAGACTATGAAGAAGAAGACATGGAGGAAGGAAAAGATGAAGAAGATAAAGAAAGTGGCATGAACATGAAAAGGGACATGGATGGAAATAGTTATGACGTTGAGGCTGAAATTGGAATAGGGAATTGCCAAAGGATACGTAGGTGCAAAGAAGGAAGGCAGGGCAATAAGAACTTTTGTGATTGGAGGAAGCCTTTGTGGGTGGCTACTTCCTAAAGTTCTTTTGTCGGAACACTTCAATTAATTTTCTCATTTATTTTTTGGAACCCTCTCTGTCCCCCTTTTATCTTACTATGATATATCTTCATGCTATGGTAGTTATTATCGTTATTTTTTGAACACGGTCTTCCCTTAAAATTAATTTTTACGGCTTACAACAACATACTCAGTAGTTTCTCACAAGTGAGGTCTGAGGAAGGTACGACGTAAGAAGTTTTACCCCTACCCCAGGAAGGGCAGAGAGGCAGTTTCCGATAGACCCTCGGTTAGAGAACGACTGAAAAAGAAAAGGTAATTGCAACAAGTAGGAATAACAGCAAGATGAAATAAGATCGAATTCAAGAATGCAGTCAAACTCTAGGTAGTAATAGTCATCTATGGAGAAAAGATATCATACTAACACTAATGCTAACGAACTAAGTAAGACAAAGAGAAACGCTCGACTACCTATGAATCTTCTACCCTAATCTTTGACCTCCACACCCTCATGTCTAGGGCCATGTCCTCATTCAGCTCCAGCTGCGCCATGTCCCGCCTAATAACCTCTTCCTAAGACTTCTTAGGCCTATCTCTGCCCCTCCTGCTACCCACCTAAACTAACCGCTCGTACCTTCTAACTGGGGTTCGTATACTTATCCTCTTAACATGTCCAATTCATTTCAACCTCGCCTCCCGCATCTTATCATCCATAGGAGTCACTCCCAGCTTTTCTCGAATAACTTCATTCCTAATCTTATCCAACCGGGTATGCCCACACATCCACCTCAACATCTTCATCTCAGCTACTTTTAGCTTCTAGGTATGAGAGTTTTTGACTGGCCAACACTCTGCTTCATACAATATAGCCGGTCTCCCTTGTAGAACTACCTTTAAGTCTGAGTGGCAAAAGACACCAGAAGCGAGCCTCCACTTCATCCATCCCGCTCCTATACGATACGTGACATCTTCATCAATCTCCTCATTACCTTGTATTATAGATCCAAGATACTTGAAACTACCTCTCTTGGGGATGACTTGCGTATCAAGCCTCACCTCTATATCCCCTTCCTGGGTACCGTTGCTGAACTTGCACTCCAAGTATTCTGTCTTGGTCCTGCTCAATTTGAAACCCTTAGACTCTAGGGTCTGCCTCCAAACCTCCAGCCTCTCGTTAACACCACCCCGCGTCTCGTCAATTAAAACTATGTCATCATCAAATAACAAATATCATGGCACCTCACCTTGAATATGTCTCGTCAATGCGTCATCACCAAGGAAAAGGAATGGACTAAGAGCTGATCCCTGGTGCAACCCCATCTTAACCACAAAGTGTTCTGAGTCTCCTTCACCTGCTCTAACCCGAGTCTTAGCTTCATCATACATGTCCTTAATCACCCTAATGTATGCTATTGGTACCCGTTTAGCCTCCTAGCATCGCCAAAGCACATCTCTCTAGACTTTGTCATATGCTTTCTCTAGGTCAATGAATCTTCATCTCCTTATACCTCTCCACCAATCTTCTCACAATGTGAATGGCTTCCATAGTCGAAAGCCCCGACATGAAATTGAACTGGTTCTCAGAAATAGACACACTGGTCCTCACCCTCACTTCAACCACCCTTTCCCAAACTTTCATAGTATGGCTTAGCAGCTTAATCCCCCTATAATTATTGCAACTTTGGATATCACCCTTATTTCTATATAGAGAAATTATCGTACTCCACCTCCATCATCGGGCATCTTCTTGTCTTAAAAATGACGTTGAACAGCCTAGTTAGCCACTTGAAATCTACCCTACCCGCATTCTTCCAAAATTCAACAGGAATTTATCTGGCCCGGTAGCTCTACCCCTATACATCTTACGCATAACCCCCTCAACCTCATCTATTCTTATGCGCCTACAATACCCGAAATCTCGGCGCATCTCGGAGTGCTCCAAGTCGCCCAACACAATGTCCTTATCATCCTCTTCGTTCAAGAGTTTATGGAAATATGTATGCCATCTTCATCTAAGAGCCTCTTTCATCAAAACTCTACCTTCCTCATCTTTGATACACTCAACTTGATCCAAATCACGGGCGTTCGTCTCTCTCACCTTGGCTAGCATGTATAGCTTCGTGTCCTCGCCTTTAACTCAAAGCTCTTCATACAAACGCCTAAACGCCTTAGTCTTAGCCGCAGTAACTGCTAGTTTTTACTACTTGGTTTAGAGATAAAGAAATCGAATAGCCAAAAAGTGGCTAAATAATTGCAAATTAAAGGGTGCAAATGCGGGACAAGGATCACGTTAACTTGCAATAATTTGGAAGGGCTTCTTATAAGATTTGGACATTAGGTGTGGCCAGCTTCATTATTTTCATTCTCAGCGACTGGAAATTTTGAATCAAACTTACGAGTTTTTTCATTTTTATCCCGCGCTAGTAATTATTTATATTCGGTAGCCGAAAAAGTGTATAAAATTTATATAATTTTTGTATATAACATATACTCCCTCTGTTCCAATTTATGTGGACATATTTCCTTTTTGGCCCGTTCCAAAAAGAATGACCATTTTCTAAATTTGGTAACAATTTAGCTTAAACTTACAATTCTACTCTTAATGAGAAGCTTTTATAACCACACAAAACTCTGGAGCCCTTTTTAACTTGTTTAGGACCACAAATTCCAAAAATCTTTATTTTTTCTTAAACTCCGTGCCCCGTCAAACAGGTTCACATAAATTAGAATGGAGGGAGTAGAATGTATATATATGCAAATTAAAAATATTATAATTTTTTGACTATTATTTTGAGGGCGGCTATACAGTTTTATTTTCCCTCAAACCTTATATCCCTCTACCCATGTTAGCCACCTTTGCAATTAGCTGCACGTATTATTTTCCATTTGGACTATTTATGTGTGTATATGTGTTTATCCTAAAATTGGATAACAATTAAATTTATAATGTGGTTTTAACGATACGTAGTTTCGCCCAATACCAATTGATGAATATGCAGATTAGTAATAAAAATTAACAATGATGTAAAGCAAACCACTGTTAAAACGTGATTTAGCCCTCAAGCTAGGATGCCCTCGAACTGGTTGGTACCAAATAGTTAAGAAATAAACAAGATGATGAACAAGAATATGAGACAGAAAAGTGTTGTATTACTTTGATATGCATGAATGTAAGATGGCTACAAAATGATTAGGACCCTCTTTATATAGTAGAGGAATCCTATCTATGGTACAATTCTAATTACGAAAGTGAATCCCATGATTAGCTAAACAACCACCCTTGATTTGATCTGTTCCGAGATTTACGCCATGATCTTCGACAAATCACGGATATCTCGGCTTTCTGTTATTGTGCTTTGCTCGATGTCTGTCTCATTTGGTCTCGATCGCTACTGGCCTCGATCTCGACAGTTTCCTCGATCCTCGAACTAGGTACTTTATTCTCGTGCTTTGGTCTGATCCACTGCGGGGCCGACCTTTGATACAACTCATTGGCCTTGATCAAATAGTAAAATCAGGTAGGCCCGATTTTAACGGTATACAGATAGTCCCCTCATTTCTTGGAGTGTTATGAGAAGAAATGAATTGAGCCTTCGATTTTGTACCTCGACCTGTGGTGATGTCATCCTCGTTACGTAAGCGACAGAAGTGACTATAACGTCCTGTCGGTTTGTATATCAAGGCATTAAATTCCTGTCAGCTGCTGCCGGTCATTATCGGTTATGAACCGTCATCTTTATCCTATAAATATGCTTTCCTTCTCTTTGCCCAAACTTTTCTCTTGATCTCTGCTCTAATCTTCAAAGCCTTTTATATCTTTTAAGCTTTTCCGTTCTGCATAATCTCTAGGTTTCGTTATCATCCTTCCCTCAAAATACCAAGTCTTATTCTCTTCTTCTTTCTTTAAACTTACAAAAAAATGGAAAAAACGCCAAAAACTGTTCCTCAAAAGGAAAATGCCTCTTTATCACGACAGGCCGGCGATAAAACATCGGTGGAGCCGGGCCCTGAGGAGTGCATTCCCGNAGTTGGTGCGAGCCAATGTCGAGATATATATGCTCGATAACTGAGAGTGACCTTGAGTAGGTAAAGAAAGACTGCCATTGGGAAGATAAAGAGGTGGTGATTTCGGCCTCCAAAGAAGACATCACTACCCATATGGAAGGGTTTCTGAGTGTTTATACTTACCCTTTCACGCTGCGCCCTGTTGATCCCGTCATCATCGATTTTTGCCGTCAATATCAAATAACCCTAGGTCAAATCCATCCCTCTTTTTGACGGATTGTCATTCTGATCCGATTCTTCGCGAGCAAAGTCGAAGGGATGCCTTTCACCCTCGACCACCTCATCAGGTTGTACAACCCCCGTCTCTTTCGAGGCGGGTTAATAAAACTTCAGCGTCGGGCTACCAAGGTGCTATCTGAGTATAGATGAGGACAAGGATCGAAGGTGGATGGTTCGGTTCGTTCGAGTAAAGACTTCCGACCTAATCCCGAATGAGAAGATGCTATTTCCCGAGAAGTGGAATATGAAGCGTAAGTACAATCCTGCCTTTAGCTTCCATTTATTATTTTCTTTCCTTCGCTTCTCCTCATTGACATCCTTTTCTATGATGTTGCGGTCTTTTGGATGCCCGGTGCAATTCCTAACATCGAGAGCTGGGTTCAAGCCCTGGCTTCGACCCCCTGGTACGCTGAGCGCTCATGGTGCGATTTAGCAAAGGGCCGATGGGAGGCCAAAAATCACGGCAAGCCCCTTTTCACATATTTGATGATTTTTGCTAAAATGTTTCTTTTCATGCTCACTTGATTTCCTTTCATACAGGCCTAAAAAAAAATCCTGTTATGAGGCCCCCGTCCGGGGAGTAGGAGGTTCCGCCCCGAGGCCGACGAAGGATAAAAAGAGAAAAAGGGTCTCGAACTCCGAAACTCCAAAGCCCAAGAAAATTAAGCCTCGTAAGCCGAAGAAAGGCACAGTCGTCCTGCCTACAGAGTAGTTTAGTGGCTAAGAGAGGAAGAAGAGGAAAATAAAGACGACGACTCCGAGATGGCGGCCCGAACAAAGAGGAACACCGAGGCCCCAAAGGCTTCTGAGTCGATAGGGGCTGGAGAGATTCAGCCTCGAACTATGGGGGTATTGGAAGAGGACCCGAGCAAAGTCCCCGAGTTATTGGAGACGGGAAGATGTCTCCCGCCGAATTGAGCAGTCGAGGGGTATGTCAAAATGAAGAGAACCACCCAAGTGATTCACTTGGGGAAATAGAAATCGGAGACTCCCCGCTTCTTCCTTCATTCTCGGAAGGGGAAGTTCGGGAGGCTCAGTCCATGAAGGCCCCTCAGGTAGAAGGCATCCTCGGAGGGGAGGACCTTTTCTAAGGTTGTTTTGCCGGGGTTGACGATGTCGCTGGCTTGAATGACTTGGACGTACCGAGGAGGAGATTGGGCGAATCTTACTCGAGTTTTAGATTGACCAGCCAATTTCCAACCCCTAGTGTTGACCCCGAGTGCAAACAGACTTATCATTATTATGGTCCCGGAGGTTGCACGAGTTGTTTTTGCCCCCGTAGGGGTGGCCAGTTACCTTCAAGGTCTGGTCACCGAGGAAGATCAAGCTCTGATGGATGAGGTGGGAGCACCAGGTCTCTTCAATGAGGCCCAGCAAGATTTGAATCTTGTAAGCCCTAACTTTCTTTGTTAATGCCGTTTTTCATAATTGTGTTTTTTCTCTCCTTGCCTAATTCTTCCCCTTCTATTTGTGTAAGCCTCAGTTTGGGATTGATGGCTAATGATTCTATCTCATAGGTCCAGCAGCTGCATGAAACGATCGTGCAACACGGAGGAGAGGTAGATGAGGTGAAGGCGGAGATTGTAGTGTGGAAGCAAAAGATGGACCATTTTGCCTTAGAGAAAGATGCCGCTCGAGCTCAGTTATCCTCAATCAAAAGCCAACTCCAATTCATGAAAGAGAAGAACTTGGAACAAGCCATGCAAATTGAGAAGCTACAGGCTCGGTTGGACACGAATCTTGCAGTGGCTAAATCTAAGGTTGAGAAGGTTAAGGCCGATGCTAAGGCGATCGTGGCTGTCTACTGATCTGATGCCTAATCCGCTCAGGCTCGAGCAAAAGAAGGCACCGATGCTTCTCAGACTCGAGCATACTAGGCTGCGGAGCATGTCAAGTGCCAGTCTCAAAGAGAGACTCTTGAGGAGATTCATGCTTGTGGATTTAACCTTGCTGTCGAGATCGAGAATGTGAAAGAGATTGAGGCTAAATCCAAAGCGTTGCTCTTTTCTGATGATGATGATTCCAAGAGCATGTGGATCCGAGAAGGGAGGGGATCCCGATGGCGAAGATGTAGCTCCCGAGGAAAATTAGGCACTTAAGATTTTTCTTTTTTGAATTTTTGTGTAGGATCCTGATCGGTCCTTGTAAATATTTTCATATATATAAAAGATCTCTTTTCTCTCTGATTTGCCTTTATTTCAATTTTCGTCTCTTGCAAATTCTGTTTCGTCCATGTCCTGAAAACTTTCACAAGTACGATGTCTGGGTAATTTGATCTAAGTTGGACTAGTGTAGTCTTTATAATCCAGCGAGTACTTGCTCAAACTCTAAGTAGGATGACCCTTAGGTTATAGTTGAGTGAGGACAACTTCTCGAACTCAAAAAATGGAACATCCCTTAGGCTCTTAGATTAGGCCGATATAGCCTCAAGAGAATTGATCCTTCCCTTTTCGGCATAAAAAAGGTTAATCATATAAACATTTTTCATGCCTTAGCATGAAATAAATTTTGTTCAAGAGTTCGAACAATCCGGTACCTCTTAGTGTTTTTTGAGGGTTGATGTTTTCGAAACCCTTTGCAATTTTACCGAGGGTAGCCCTTTTAACCGGTTTAGTGAAGATATTAGAAGACCTATTTTATTATGGAATTTGGACGTCTCCGAACCGTGGTAGTTTGGCCGTAGCCTTTAACTTGAGATTTGCTTCTTGGGCTTATTTCCCGCTTACACTCCGAACTTGTTCGAGGTATCAGTCCCCGAGTAGGGTGGCCATGGCCTATAAAAATGAGGGTTGTCTTTTTAAGGTCTTACAATCTCGAGACTTTAATAAGTCGATTATATCGATTTTTCGGATAGCAGTCCTCGAGTACGGGGTAAGTTGTTTGAACTTCAGCTCTGATTGGCCCTTAAGCATGTTTTCACAATAGATCAAAAGTATGAAATTGTAAAGTAAAATTTTTTAAGGAAAGAAATATTTGGCAAGGAAAAATACTTTTCTCAATAGATTATACATGTGTACATGTTTGCCTCTAGGGCTCGAGCGAACTAAATGGGCACGGTTCGTTTGACCGTTTGGCCCTTACAAAGTTTTACCTATCAAGACCCTATTGACACGAAATATCTTCCTTGTAACAAAGTTAACATCCGAACAATGGTGATGCCCCCCAGTATTTGGGGTTGATTGTAAAGAAGCCTCAGATACTGTTGAGTTTCTCTAAGTTAGCACAAACAATGATTGCCTTATTAAAAACCTCGCCGGGAAAACCCATTTTGGATAAAAACCATTCTAAGGGAAAAAGAGTGCAACGCGTGCTTTCAGACCTAAGGACTTTGTGATGAAGGATCCTTCAATATCTTCAGTTGAACACCTGAATTTGGTTAGTATAAAATATAAATGAAAATGGAAAAGGTTGTACCTTAGCAGTAATATCGTTTGAGGAGTGGTATGTTACAATTATTTGGTAATTGCTCGCCGTCCATTGTGCCAAGGTTGTAGGACCCTTTTCCAACGATATTGAGGGCCTAATATGGTCCCCCTAGTTATGGCCAAGTTTTCCTTCATTTGGGTCTCAAGTATTGATGGTAACCTTTCTCAGAACTAAGTTCCCGATTTTAAAGTGTCGAAGATTGGCCCTTTAGTTGTAATACCTCTCGATCCGCTGTTTATGCGCGGCCTTTAGAATAAGAGCAGATTCCCGTCTTTCATCTAGCAATTCAAGGCTCGTATTCATAGCCTCGTGATTTGACTATTTCATTGCATACTGAAACCTGAAGCTAGGTTCCCTGACTTCGACTGGATTAGAGCTTCGACACCGTAGACTAAAGAGAACGGTGTTGCCCCCGTACTGGATTTTGACGTTTTTCGATAAGCCCAAAGGACGTTGGACAATATTTCTCTCTATTTTCCTTTAGCTCTATTCAATCTTTTCTTCAGATTTTGGATGACAATATTATCTGTTGATTCGGCCAATCTGTTCCCACTAGGATGATAAGGCGTTGACAGGATCTTTTTTATTTTGTGATCTTCGAAGAGCTTTGTCACTTTGCTACCGATGAATTGCTTTCCATTGTCGCATACGATCTCGGCAGGCATTCCGAATCGGCATATAATGCGGTCCCAAATGAAGTCTATGACTTCTTTTTCTCTGACTTTCTTTAAGGCATGTGCTTCATCCCACTTAGAGAAATAGTCAGTCATAAACAAAATGAATTTAGCTTTACTTGGGGCCGATGGTAGAGGGCCGACAATATCCATTCCCCATTTCATGAACGACCATAGGGATAGGACTGAGCAGAGTTGCTCTCGGGGTAGGTGGATCATCGGCGCATACCTTTGACATTTGTCGCACTTTCGAACAAATGCTTTAGTGTCCTTTTCCATATCAGCCCAATAGTATCCTATTCTGATGACTTTGTGAACCAATGACTCGGCAGCAAAATGATTTCCGCAAGTGCCCTCATGAATTTCCCGTAGAACTTAGTCGGTGTCTCCTGGTCCCAAATATTTCGCTACCGGTCCATTGAACGTTCTCTTATACAGTGTTCCATCCTCGATCAATATGAATCGTGCGGCCTTCGTGCATGGAGTCCTCGATTCTTTAGGATCCGACGAAAGCTTCTCGTTCTTTAGGTATTCGATGTAATTATTCCTCTAATCCCAAGTTAAACTTGTGGAGTTTATTTCTTCATGTCCTTCTTAGATTACTGACCTCGAAAGTTGTACGACAGTCTCCGAGCTAAGTTCATCGTCTTCGATCGATGACCACATATTTGCAAGGGCATCATGCTCGCTATTTTGTTCCCGAGGTACGTGTTGTAGTGTCCATTCTTTAAATCGATGTAGAGACACTTGTAGCTTGTCTAAGTACCTCTACATTCGATCTTCTCGAACCTCGAAAATTTTGTTGACTTGATTTACCACAAGTTGGTAGTCGCACTTGGCTTCGATGACCACCACTCCCAAGCTCTTAGCTAGCTCGAGACCTGCAATCATGGCCTCATTACTCGGCCTCATTGTTAGTCAATTTCAAAGTTTTGATAGACTACCTAATTGTATTACCCGTGGGTGGCTTCAAAACAATGTCTAGCCCGGACCTCTTCACGTTTGAAGCACTGTCTGTGAAGAGGGTCCACACCCCCTAATGATGTACCCGATTTTAATAATAGTTCTTTTTTGACCTCGGGTACGAGGGTGGCGTAAAGTCAGCCACGAAGTCTGCCAAGATTTGAGACTTGATGACCGTTCAGGGTTAATACTCGATATCGTACCCACTTATCTTGACGGCCCATTTGGCCAATCGACCTGAGAGTTCGGGCTTGTGTAAAATGTTGCAAAGGGGATAGGTGGTTATAACACAAATTGGATGACATTGGAAATATGGTTTTAATTTCCTAGAGGCGTTTATTAAAGGAAGCGCTGATTTTTCTAAGTGTGGGTATTAGGTCTCGGCTTCACCTAGGGTCCGACTAACATAGTAAACAGGAAATTGCGTACCTTGCTCTTCTCGAACTAAGACCCCACTTACTGCTATCTCCGAGACCGCTAAGTATAAGTATATTTGCTCGTCCGCTTTCGGGGTGTGAAGTAGTGGCGGGCTTGACAGGTATTGTTTGAGTTCCTCCAAGGCCTGTTGACATTCTGGGGTCCACGTGAAATTTCTCTTCTTCTAAAGTAGTGAGAAGAATCGGTGGCTCCTATATGAGGATCTCGAAATAAATTGACCCAGGGCGGCTATGCTCACTGTCAACCTTTGTACATCCTTGACATTATCAACAACTGTGATGTATTCGATTGCCTTGATTTTATCGGGGTTGATCTCGATCCCCCGATTTGATATCATAAAGCCGAGGAACTTGCCTGAACCGACCTCGAATGCACATTTCTCCTGGTTGAACTTTATGTTGTACTTTCTCAGTATGTCGAATGTCTCCTGCAAATGTTTTAAATGGTCCTCTACTTGAAGGGACTTGACTAACATATCATCAATATAAACCTCCATTGATTTACCTATTTGTTCTTCGAATATTCGATTCACTAAGCGTTGATAAGTATCACTAGTATTTTTAGTCCAAACGGCATTATGTTATAGCAAT